AGATCGAGCGATCGCTTCCAGCGCGAATGAGTTCTCGGGAATCAACAGTCATATATGCCTGAAACAGCCACCCTGGCAGACTCCTGGCAGGGGGGGGCCGCTTGCCAGCGTCGAAGAATGGCATCTAAAAAAATCGGATTCTGGGAGGGTACTTCTACCGGCGTGGCCTCCAAGAACGCCCGCTGCGTCCTCCCGACATCCACATGTTCGCTCACCCAGTAACGTGCAGCGGCAAAATAAATATCTACCTCACAGTGCGGGAATTTATCGGACTACGTCTTGCATATCGGCCATAGTACATGCATTGCGTTATTTAATGGCCGGTTAGGATTTTTCTTTTAATAAACAATCTTTTTTTTTTGAGAAACGTCTCACTCTGTTGGGCCACACACGTTGGCCGGGCTCCACCGTCGCGTGAGCGTCAGCCTCGCTCACTCACAAGCCTCCGACTCATGGGGCCCGAAGCATCCTCACCTGCCTCCAGCCTCCTCCCCCCGAGTAAGGCTCGGGAACCACAGGCTGCGGCCACGCCCAAACGGCCGGGCTCTAATATTTTATCTAATATACTAATTACGGTTGCAGCGGAACTTAAAAATGCAGTCTTTCTACTTTTTAGTAAACGCAGGTCTTGCTGCTTGGCTCACGCGTGGTTTCGAAAACTGCCTGCCTCAGAGGCGAATCCTCCCCGCGTTGGCGCTCGCAGAGTGCCTGGGGTGACGGCAGGTGTGGGCCACGGGCGCCGCAGGCGCCAGGATTTTTTTTTAAAAATGCTTCATTGGTTAAAAACTAATGAGAGCTCTCGAATGCCTTAGAACGCCCCAACACAAAAAAAAAACACTGTACGCACTGTGCACCTGGCAGGAGTTTAGCAGAGCATGCTTTCGAACTGTTGCCAGAATGACCCGCCCCAATGCGACGCTGGAGCATTTACCACCACAAGTCATCATCTTGTCTTGCTCCTTCGTTGTCGTGGAAAAAAAAGGTCAAAGGCCATGCGCGAAGTTTCCGGAAAAGCAAATGGGGCTATCAACTCTAGCACAGAGCAGGGAAAAAGAGATTACCGGATCCTCCATTTTCTGCAGCCCATTGAGAATCGGACGCTGCATAGCAAATAAAAATGAGCTGGGAAAAAATAATAATTACAAGGCAGGTGTACATCAGTGCCCTCTCATTAATTAACCTCATCAGTCTTGACAACAGTTTTGCTAGCATGCTTATAGATGCATCGTTGATATTTGCAGCCAAATAAAGGAAAAGGGAATTATTTTCCACTTTCCAGCAAAACCTGCTCCCCGTGCGGGGATAGTGACATCTCTCTGCAAGGCCACACAGAGCGTTCTGTGTCACCGATCACGTTTTGAGAATAAGAGAAGCAGAGTCGGATTGTTTTCGGGAGGCTTTGCTTTGCTTCCTTGCTCTCTTGCCTTTCGTCGATCTGGGAGCTTTGTGTTTGGCCTGAGCTGGGAAGACTTTTCCCCGACGAGAGATCGTTTTATTTTAGTGCTCTCATTTTCCTGG